GTGTCGGGGGTCTCCGCGGGCGCGGTGGCGGTCACGGGGCCGCGCGGGCAGGGAGCGGTCACGCTGCCCGCTGTCACGTGACCCGCGCGGCCGCGTTACGAAACGGCCCGAGAGCTGTGATTTAAAAACAAAAAAACCAAAAACCCAACAAAAAAACCCCTCCCCTCGCAGGAGCTACCCCCGCCCGCACGAGTACCTGCACGTCTCCGCGCTGCCCGCGAGCTGGGACTGGAGGGACGTGAACGGCGTCAACTACGCCAGCGCCACGCGGAACCAGCACATCCCCCAGTACTGCGGGTCCTGCTGGGCCCACGGCAGCACCAGCGCCCTCGCAGGTACGCAGGGCGGTGCGCTGCCTGCGCCCCCCGCCGCGGGGTTTGGTAAGCGGAGGAAGCGCTGTTGCCCGTCTGTGAAATAGCTGGTGTGACGGCGGGGTGCCACATGGCTGGCTACACAGCAAAACCCGGGGCTGAGGTGTCTGTGAAGGCACCGGGAAGAGGGGGAATTCCCAAGCTGCAGGCGAGGAGGTTTGATTTTAATAGCAGTCAGAGTGAGGCTGTCCCCGCGCTCGCACATGGTGTGAGGGGGAACACAGGCTTGGTTAAACAGCTGTTTGCAGAAGGGCTGCATTCACCGCTCCTGCTACGCCAGTGGTCAGGGCCTGGGGTAAGAACTGGGGCTTCTGCCCTCTTCTAGGAGGTGTGGTGATGGCAGCAGCAGATGCAAATGCAGTTATCAAATCTCCTTCCCTTTTCTGGTACCTCAGCCTGCTGCACTACATCTGCAGCAGCCACGGGCTGCTCCGTGCCTGGATATGAGGAAGTGAAAGAAGTTGCCTCTTGTGGGAAGGGCCCGCAGGGTATTGGCTTCAAGAGCCCTGCCATTGAAATTAAATGATTACCACAGCATAGATAAATCCTGCTTCAGCAGATACCTATCAGCTTTTTTCTTGGGAAAAGGGAAGAAGGGGTTTGCTTCAGGTGGAGAAATATTTTCTCTAAAGAGAATACAGGATGATTTGCATGCAACAGTAACATGCTGCAGAAGTACTGTTTGCACAGGGAGGCTGTAAAAGGATTAACTGTGAAGGAGAAATAAAGGAAACTGTGCAGAAATGGGAAGATAACACAGATGTGAGCAGACAGCAGGAATCATGAAGGATCCATCCTTAAGCAGTACAATGAAGACATGCATGAACCCTGCCATGATGTAGTAAATACTAGGACAGATAAAATACAGCAACTTCTTAATTAGGTAACTTTGGTTAAAACTTAGTTGTGTACATAGGTATACAAGTATGTGCATAAGTATAAAATTTTTAAAAATCAGGGTGTTTTTTTATTTACTCCTGTGAATAGTTAAAACATTCATTCCTTCTTTTGTTGCTAGAACGCTAGGCTGGGATAATGCCTCCCAGTTCTGTCAAGTATTGCTGAATGTTGTTAGTACTAATGGGATTAAAAGTACTACAGTGGCATCAGTTAAGACTATTAATGCACTGTGAGAAGCAGTTTATAAATACTCACTGGGAAGGCTTTGTCAGGTAAGCTAGTTGTTTCTGACAAAATAAGGCAGCAGGGTGGTGATGCCTGTCTGAGATGGCAGGGTAACAGTGAGATGTTGACATAACAGTGAAGATACACTTCTCTGAACGCTTTTCCTCACTTTAAGTTTGTGAAGACTGTCTCAGAGCCAGAGACCAGGGCTGCATGGGCTTATGACTCTCTGCATGGGTTTATGCATAAATCTTTACTCCTGTAAAAGAGGCTAGTGAGAGCTGGTTTTATGATGTGTGTTTGAAAACTCTTTGCTGTCAAAGCCAGGAAACAGATCTGGAAGTTTTCAGAAGCTGTGAGTTGAATTAAAAGAGGTCTAGGGCACTTCAAGGCTTTAAACAGATCTTACTCATCTGCATGTTTCTGCTGAGTTTTTAATGGAAAAAACTTCTAATGGAAACCCACAATAATAACTCGGCCTGCTGGTCTGAGTTAGGTCACGCTATGTGCCTGTCAACAGAGGCTTTTCCAACCACAAGTACTGTTGCCTGCAGTTACAGGTTCAATGAAGTAGACACAGTTTTAACACTAGTTGCAATGTGTAGCCACTCATGTATTCCACTAACAAAACCTAATTTCGTATCCTTACAGATCGAATCAACATAAAGAGAAAAGGTGCATGGCCTTCTGCCTACCTCTCTGTTCAGAATGTGATTGATTGTGCTGATGCGGGATCCTGTGAAGGTGGAGACCACTCCGGTGTTTGGAAGTATGCCCATGACCATGGCATTCCAGATGAGACCTGCAACAACTACCAAGCTAAGGATCAAAGTATGATACCTATTTGCTTTGCTGGAAGGCTTCATCCCAGGTTTAGCGATCTTAATATAGAAAAAAAAAATCGTTTCTTGGTTTTTCAATTTACTGATTCCTGCCTTTCAGTGTAGTACCTGCTGTTTGACTGACAGAGCAGGTTTTCTGTACAGGCCTGCATGTCTGTCTCTTTACTTCAGACAGACAGTGTAGCATTAAATCATGCCCAGACACGTTTGCACAGCTAAAATGTTTTGACTTAATCTCTTAAGTCTGTGATATACAATCTCTAATGTACTGAAATATTTACAAGTGTCACCTCAAGCTAAACAAAGCAGAAGTGTAACCTTTGTCTGGTCATGTATGACTGGAATAGTTTCTGTATCTACAGAGAAGCACATCCGAAACACTTCCTCATCACAGCAATTATGTCTATGAAGTAAAGAATAGTAACTAGGGATTGCAGGGACTTAAAATGTGTTTTCCAGAAAGGAATTTAATTCACCAGAGTGTGTGTATTAGTAATTACTCTTAAGTTATTAACATCTGCCTCAAATCAGTTAAAAAAAAAAAAAAAAAAAAAAAATCATTAATTCCATTGAAGAAAAGCATTCTCTTGCAGTGATAATCTCACTTTGGTTTGTAGAGTGCAAGAAGTTTAACCAGTGTGGAACTTGTGTCACTTTTGGAGAATGCCATGTGATAAAGAACTACACCCTCTGGAAAGTTGCTGACTACGGGTCTGTCAGTGGAAGAGAAAAAATGATGGCAGAAATCTATACTAATGGACCAATTAGGTAAAAAAAATAATCTTGAATGGTAGAAAGTGTTTGCTAGCAATTTGGGGATTGAAATACTTGAAACTCAGTCCAATGACTGTATGTACTTTTCCACTCTAGCATATGTTAGCAGCTCTGCACTAATAGGCAGACTTTAGCTTGTTTGTAGATAAATTGAGCTCTGAAGTCAAAATGCGAGAAAAACGATTGGTTTTTAGCCAGGCCCCTGCTCTGATGACCTTGTATGAAAAAAGCTTTCTCTGTTTTATTACAGCTGTGGAATAATGGCTACTGAAAAGTTGGATGCTTACACTGGAGGACTTTATACAGAGTACAACCCCTCGCCTGTGGTGAATCACATTGTATCTGTGGCTGGCTGGGGTGTAGAAAATGGAACAGAATACTGGATTGTTCGTAACTCATGGGGTGAACCTTGGGTAAGGAAACATGTTTGCAGAATGACTTTAGAGGAAACAGGGGTTTTTCACTTGCAAACAGGAAGCTAGCCTGTGGATAGGAAAAGTAAAACTTTCTTTGAACTAGACTTTCAATTAAAAAATTAAACCAAACTAATCTGAAGGATATTCAGCCAAAGTTACTTGAGTAATGTCAACTCAATCCCAAATACTATCACTTCCACGGGCACGCAGCTCCTGTTATTACTGTTACTTGTAGGCAAAAATCAAGTCACGTACCCGGAATAGATGAGGGGGATGTAAATTCATCAAAACAGTTTTCCCCTTTAAACAAGGTTGCCCTGCGAACCCAGTGTTATACTTCATCTGAGTGAATTCCTAGATTCATGTAAATCATTCATATTTGGCAACAGACCAAACTCAATAGCTTACATTTTCTATAGTTATGTTTTCTAATTCACAATGCAAATTAATTCTTTACAGGGTGAAAGAGGGTGGCTGAGAATTGTGACAAGTGCATATAAAGGTGGAAGAGGAGCACAGTTCAATCTTGCTATTGAAGAGGACTGTGCGTATGGAGATGCTGTACTCCCTTGATTCTATATTGTACGTCTTTCTGTTTAGGAACTACTTTGTTTGGAAGCTTCCCAGCACAATCTTCTTTTGAAAGAACAGCAGTCTAAAACTCTTTCATGGTTCAACACAATCGGGCAGTTCTGCAAAATTAGTCCAGAGCGCAACACACAATGTCTTCAAAGTAAAATAAATACAGAGCTGCCTTTAGATAATTATTTACAGCTTAAAAGTATTTTACCCATGAAAAAAGTGGTCTGCCTTGGTGTGTAGTATTTAAATCATATTGACTTAATCACAGAAACTGTATGTAAATCTCTGTATATTTTTAAAATATGAATTATGTAGACATACTGGGAAGGAAAAAGTATACTCAATATTTGGGTCTAGAGCTTATATTAAATTCTCTCACAGTATTGAGCAAGTATCTCAGTGGTGCAGATGAAAAAACAAAGCAAAGTCTGGATATGATTTATTCAAAACCTAACTCCTCTGTTTCCAATCCTGGTGAAACAATGTTGTTGGAAGTTTCATGTAATGCAGTTGCTTTTATGCAACTACAATGATACAACAGGAATTACTTTCATTAAAAGACAAAGTCTAAACACTTAGTTATTTAGTCTTGTATTTGCTCAAATTCCTTGCTTCAGTATGTGATTGGCTGTGCTATTTTTCTCCTAAAGAGGCAAAGCATAAGTTACCACAACCCTTACCTCTTCACTCACTTTAAGAAAGGTAGCAAATTCTCTTCCTTAGTAACTGGTTCAGTTTTAAGTGGCAAATCAGTGCCATATCAAATGTTACTAACTAACTGGCCTTGTTAATTGCATTTAATAAACAGACTTTCTCTTACATGACTGTATGTGTATTGTGAGCTTATTCATAAATATTCTAGTGTTGTACCTAATAAGCAGTCTCATGTCAGACCAGCTACCCAAAGCTTACCCAGCTTTTACTGGACTTTTTCTTGCAAAAGGGCTGGTTAACAACACAGTCTATTTAGCAAATATCACAGTTCAAACAATAATTCAAGTTAAATTATGCTACCTTTACCCACACTTGAAATTAAGATATGTTACAGAAGGAAGCATCCAACTTCAAGCAAGGGAGAGAAGAAACATTCAGAAGCTGTAGAACACCACTATTAAATGTCAAATCACCAAAACCTTCCATAAACCATCCTCTGAGTTAAAGCTTTTTAGTGGTACAGAAGAATAGACATTTTCAGAAACTGTCTCTATTATCTGTTACCTCCTAGTTGGTAGTTTCTGTGACTTAGCTTGGTTTTATCTGTGAAAGGAGTCTGCTCCTAATCAGGATAGGTTTGGCAGAACAGTGAATATCCATAAAAGAGTAAGACTGCTGGTATCTACAGTGATGGTGTGCAATTCTGATCGTTTATGTTTTGAACAGCACAGCTTTTAGTATTGTGACAGTAAGGACAGTTTCAGACCTGAGGTTAGGTCATTCTAATAAACTAGGCAACTTCAAAGATTGCTTTTCTGGTTAATGTGGCTTCATAAATACAAGAATCATACTCTTGATTAAGTATTTTATCATCTCTCATCCACCATTCACCTCTTAAGCATGTGAGAAAATACTACACATTTAAATCTAAGCAAAAGACAGAATTCCATCTGTCTCCTTGGCTTTGCTTTACCATGGCAAAATGACTCGATAGTGCCAATAAGGATTAATTCCGCCAAGCTGCAGTGCCTGCTGTAACTAACTTAAGTTCCACCGAGATATGAACCTGGTAGTATGCTGATCCTGATCATCATGGAAGCTTTTAGTAGTGAAAAATCATCTCCAAGGACAGGTGCAGAGGAGCTCATGTGTTTTTAGAGGAGGAGATACCAAGCTTGAACACAGAAGAGAGCAAAAGAAGACCTTGTTGAAACAGCTGGCAGATTTGCAGTGGACACAGGAAGAAACTGCTCTTACCACTAAAACATGATACAAGGATACATCCTAAAATGAAGCTCTGTAGGGTGAATTATTTCTGTAGTTAATTCCACAAAGAAAGGATGTCAGGGGCTACAAAAAGCCAAATACGTATGCTAATTTTACTTACAGTGTTACAAAAAAAGTAAGTCTCATGCAAGCTTGAATAGTGAGAGTTAGCTGGAATGCCAGTACATCTTCTACTCAAAGATATGCAAAGTTCAGAACAGCTGCCACAGAAGCAACTTTGGCCCGTTTCAGACTGTCCTTTAAGTTGATTAGAGCACTGTAAGTGGTACTAGGATAAGCTCAGTCATGTATGCTGAGGAAAGGGAGGATGCACTCCTTTTTGTAAGGAGTTAATAATCTATACAATTGGCTGCTGTCTCAAGAATTATCACAGTGGCTTAGAGTTCCCATTCATGAGTCACTGACAACAGAGAACAAAATAATTTCCTTTTTAAATTTACATCCAGTTGGACTTAAAACACCAGTGTCTTTTAGAAAGCAGATTCTTCAGAAAAGAGAGGTGCTTGAAAAAGCACAATGGGCTTGTCTCTATCCCTCATTTTTAAACAAACCGTATTTGCCTGTACAAAGAGAAATCCAACTCAATGAACAGAAAGAGTGGTCTTAATGAAACTGAAAAAAAAATCTCTGGAAAAGACACCTTTATTTAAAGGTAAATTATAATCTTGGGTGTATCCCCCACTGTTTGGCATCAACCAGGACAGAGTAGAGGTAAGTATAAAAAACAAGCCACAACAAGCAGTAATGAAATTTCTGCACACATTCATATTTTTGGACAGCAGTAGAATTCTGACATGGTAATGAAACTTACCAGTAACACCTGATGCATCTATTTAACAAAAAATAGATTCTGAAAGGTAACACGCTCACATAGGATTCATCTGTTTATACAAAACTAACCTTGATTGTTACAACCCCACTTGTGTTACATAAAACATTTTTTTTCATAGCAGTAAATATGTAGGATATTTAGAATTCTAATATAATGCAAACATGAGAAAGAGGCATTGTGGCTTCTCTGCAGCACAGAGCTAATCACACATTGTTTTTTTACAACTCGCAACATCAAAACCTAGAGCATTCAAGATCTAGTCTTCAGAAAACTATCTGCAGAGTGTTTTTAGCAGGAACTACCTTCCCCATTCTTAGGTTTTGTGTATTACACAAAAAAATCACTGACATTCTGCAAGTAATCACAATAATTCTTTGAAGTAAATCTGTTTCTGTCCTTCAGAATATTCAGAGTTATACTGATTTGTGTAAAAGAAAATCCTTCAGTATTATTCCATTTTCCAAATTACATGAACAGTCCTCACATATGAAGCTCAAGGTCACCATGCAAGTCAATCAAATGCCTTTTCTTCTTTGTTTTGGGTTTGTTGGGTTTGGGTTTTTTGGTTTTTTTTTTCCTCTCTGCTGTGTTGCCCATTTATAGAACCTTACTTATGGAGAGTATGGCAAAGTAGTGATCATTCTTGATATTTTCCACTGCTTAGTTCATCATAATAAAGTTAGATTTGCAATGAGCTTAAAAGAAAAAAAAAAAAAGATAAAATGTTCAGTGCATTAATGATTCATCTGTTTGCATGTGGATTTCTGTAATATGTAAATAATCAGGATTTTAGGGTCACGACATGTTTTTGTTTTAGGAGAGGAGTGTATTATGACAGACTACTTCCCTTTCTGTCCTTTCCTTACTACAGTGCTAGTTCTCAAAAAACAGTTTTTGTCTCCAAGTTCCTCACTACTACCCAGAGATTCTTCATCAAAGGTAAATTGCTAAACAAAGGCTCCTAAAAGGGAAGTTAGCAGTGGAAATATCTAGCAGGCATTCCGATTTTTAGCAATACCCCCCCAAACATTATTTTTAAGTTGTAACAAAAACAAATGGAAGCAGGAGTGTAAGGAATAAATGTGACTCACCTATAAATTCAGTGACAGGATCATGTTCACCTTCTGTTTTAATAGTACCTGCAATACTTTCATTCTCCAAGATTGGAAGAAAAAGGTGTACAAAGTCTGAGGTATATGGAGGAGCAATCACATCAAGCACCTGAAACAGCCGACAAAAATGGATTATTCTTCCAGTTAGAGGGGTAGTAGAGTGAATCAAATATTGTTGGTACTACTTTTGAAAGCATAAAGCATACTGGCAGTTGCACTTAAGATCTCTTGTTCTCCATAGAAGTAATTAATTATGTATTCTTGTGGTACTCTACCCAGTGCCTTAATACTTTCTGAAGTCAGGAGTCAGTGGGACTAAGTCACATCCTAGTGAATACTGGTATTACATATATTGCTCAGAATCTGATCTCATATCTGGAATTATTTTTGACTATGAGGCCAGCTGATTTAATATTCTAATACAACTGACATTGAAGTTTATATGTTAGTAAACACATTTTTTGCTGCTGACCTCTGTAACAAAGTATCTGATGAGAGAGATATCTGTATCTAGCTTCTCCAGGCATTTGCGGATATAGCTGACGACAGGCAGGACATATCCTCGACTGAGTAAGTGCACCATTCTATCCAAGAGAGTCTTCTTCAATTCCAGCTGATAGTGCAAGGAGGGAAGAACCAACAGATTAGAAATTCCTCTCAGAAGTGTTCAATTTCTACTGCTCATTTTTATTGATTCAGTATCTGCTATGTTATGTTCTAACCGTGACCATATTCCTAAATTAAACTCTCAGAACTGCTACGACAGCAAAAGCTATTATCTTGAGTAAGTGTAACTAATACAAAGGAACACAAATACTGAATCCTTTGAGAATCACCTGCTCCATCACATCAAGCTGCGAATGTTCTGTTTCAAAGAGCTTGACAAGAAGTTGTAGAACTTGGGGATGAAGCAGCTGATGGCATGTACTGATCTGCAAACAAGACAGGAAAGTCAGATCCTCAGAACTTCAATTTAAAAACTAGTGCACCAGTCTTTATTAGACAAATTTATATTGATGTTCAGTGCCAGATGTGCATTCTTGTAGAAAAGTATTCCATTTCTTTCTTTGACGCCTACATTTTCCTAGCGTAAATAATGCTGAGCTGACAAAACCAAATAATTCACTCTGAATAGAAAGAGATTAATCTCTATATATTTTCTGACGTTCTGCAAATGATAGGCATTCAGTAAAATTCATGCATATCCAGTTACAGGCATCAAAACTGTTCTTACTCCTTATGTACACTTTACATACACTTTATGTACTCTTTATGTACACTTTTACCTCATCCAATAACGCCAGATGAACTGGAGTGTGATCAGTCTGCAGCTGGAAGTATCGTGGTTCTGACACTGTCCAATCCACCCACTTTAATACGCCCATTGCCACCACTGGGAACCTACAGAAAGAGACATCACTTTAGCACAGGAGCTTAAAAACCAAAACAAACAAGAAACCAACAACCAAAAACCCTAGAACAACAACAACAACAAATTCACATTACATTAAAAAACATCAGTATATTCTAATGGTTGCTAGAGTTAGTTTAACTTAGAGCAGAATTCATAAAGCTCAAAAAGTTTAGCTTGAGAAGTTGCCTTCATATCAAGAGTAGTTTTCATCAAGGGGGAAGAAGAAAAAGAAAAAAAAAAGATACGCTGGAGGAAAAATTGTTTCTAAAAGACACTCCACGCTCAGCATAAACTGCAAAAAAAATAGGCAACAATTTATGTATGCACCAAGTTTGTTCCGGTTCATTCAATATCTGCTATTTCATACTTTTAAGAGGAGAAAAATGGACACATCTATTGCTAGGAAAGAATTATTAGGAAGATAAAGTAATGTGTAAGCATGTTCTGTGACACAAGTAGGACAAGTTCTCAGTGAAAGCCAGAATTTATGTCCTCATGAGAAATTCTAAAGAGTCAGATGTGGTCTGAAATTCAGAATTGTACATCTTGACTATTCTACAATGATGTAGAATGCTCTTATAGAGCAGCCCACCAACACACTTCCCTTTAGCAGTACTGCCTCTCCTAAACAAAATAACACTTTTCTTCCAACAACTGAAGCTTGGGACCAGTCTCTCTGCTCACCTGATGCACTGATAGAGCGTGCTCAGTTCTGCAACCAACTCTGATGCTCCTTTGTTCTCATTGCAACACAGATTGTGAACAGTTTCAATGGCTTTTGAAGTTGACTTGAGTTCATCCTTGTTTATGCTGACTCTCTTGTTCTGAAAAATTGCAAAGTTTGTATGCAAGAGATGTGAATATACTGGATGTCTTTGATTATTTAAGGAAAGGAATTGCAACCTGAAATAGGCCTAAGATTACATCAAGTTTCTCAAAACTCAGTTCTTCTGAAACTTGGATTTGAATCTAATTATCAATGACCTGAAGTCCAATGATGTTTGCTTTATTTAATTCCCTAAGAATTACTTTATCCACTTCACAGAATTACATTCCTCTTTCTCTGAAAAAAGCACATATGGTTCTAGTAGCACAGAACTGCTACTGATAACCTTTGGGGGAGGTGGGGGAAGAGAGTAAAAACACTCAAGTGCACTCAGGCTTTTAGTGTTATTTGTTCATCAGGATCCACATTTTTTCATTTCAGTTGAAAACAGAAACACTTCATATTAAAATAAGTAAATCAAGCCAACTATGTTATTTTAAACTGAGCAACTTCACAACCATACATACTTCAGCTCAGTCAGGCCACTGCAGGTAAAAATAGTTATTCACAGAAGTGAACGTTACCTTTTTCCACATCTCTACTACACTGGCTGCGTATGCCAGTATGTGAATGTATTTATGTTTGTGGTCCTGGTTGATCTTAGCACCTGGCTTAAACAATGACTGCATGAAGAGGTCCAGAAAGGCAGGTACACGAATCTGTGAAAAAAATGGTTTATTAGAGCCTGAAAATTATGGGAGGTGTCTAAAAATACTTCTGATACACCTTGCATAGAAAGAGATATAACACATCCCCCTTGAGTAGGTTAGCCAGTTTTCTGAAGAGACCCATACTTTTGACAGAAAGGAAAAAAAACCCTATATTGTTAAAGTATCTAAAAGCCACCATTTGTTACCAGAACCCACACTAGAACAAGGCAGCGAGAAAGGTGAAATGTGACACTTAGGCCTTCTTACAAGAAATTGCAAAACTTCATGGGTTTTTAAAATTTTTTAGTTTTTGTTAAAATATGTTAATTAATTCCTTAACATCTTTATCTCTTATGGAGAAGTTCTTTAATTAATCTAATTATGTAAAAAAACAACTTGGAATGATTAACAAAACTCAAGAAGCTAATGCAAAATAGAATACAAGTAGTAGTTTCACATTTAGATGTTACTTAAAATTGCAGAGGGATGAGTCCGAGTGCTAACTTCTATTTTGTGTCAATACAACACTTAGCACAAGACCTCACATTTCTGAGTGCTACTGTAATAGAAGTTTCAGAGGTTATAAAAAGATAACTACAAACCAGTTCTACTGGAGGTGGGTCCATGCTTGTAAACATTTTGAACAGGACAGTGATATCTGCTGGATTCAGAGCTCCTTTGGACAACATCGCACCAAGAGCTTGACACGCTCGAGGATAGGAGGCTGCAGTACCCAATGCTAAAGTGATCTGACTAGCATCGTGGCCCCTAGGTGAAGAGTAAACATACATAGCAACTTATTAACCTGGACATTTTAGTTTTAGATTCACTGAGTAACAGGGCATGTCCTATGGAGTGTAATGCCTTAGGGCAGAACCTCTTATCCTGGGTAATTACAGAAATCAACCTGTATTTCCCTTGTTTGTTTCTAAAATGTTTGTAGAATAATAAATACATATTTTTCAACAGACAAACTTCAATGCTTTGCTCTTCTGATTTCAGCTCTCCCAGTACAGAATATTGCATTTTTCTGTTTTTCTACAAGTTAAAGCCTGCTACAAGAACTGCTCTGTTGCAGTTAAGAATTCTCCTTTTGCTGGTAAAAGGCAATCAATAATAAGCAAAACCCAGCAGTTTATAAATTCCAGCAACTTACATTTCACTAATAATATAACTCCCACTTACTTCTCATGAGCATATCGCTGAACCTCCTGAGCAATCCGTCGGACAGCTGACCCTCCTTGCTCTTCTTGAGCTAATATGGACATCATAGATTGAGCAAAAAGGTAAGTGTGTTCTCCGTGGCACACCATCTTCTGTGAAAGCACACATCAAAAATCTTACCAATCAACAAGAAACACTCAAGTATGCTTCTGTGATTACACTGCTGTAATACCAAGGATTCAACTAAAATCTACTAATCAAAAGAAAAAAAAAACCACAAACAACTAAACAAGAAAACAAATACAACAGCCAAGAAGAAAGTACAGAAACCCACTATATCACTATGCACTGATACCATGCAAGAAGAAATGGCTAAATTGCGAACTTCTGTTTCCTGAATGTCAAAACTGAGAAAAAATTCTATCCTACTTACACTTAGTACTTATTAAATGTTGCAGAGAAAGTAAGAGAAGTACAAAGCCATCTGAAAGTCATTATGCTATTTCACCACTCAGAACATATGCTGGGTTGTTTCAGGTGGCAACTTTCACACTGACATGGATGATAAAAGGATTACTTTAATTTGCCAAGGGATTGACTAGACCGATCTTTAGATCTTGAATTAAATGTGAAAGACAACAGTTGTACCTTCACCTTTTTACAATCCATTCAATAAATGTAAGAAGTGTCACGTAAGCAACCCAAAGAATTCATAGTCACAGAATGAGCGAAAAGCATAAATTTTGGGGTTTTAAACTCAGATATACCTTCTCTCCATAAGATTTTGTAAGAGTTGATAAGATGTCAAGATTCTTCACAATCCTAAAATGATTTGTATATACTAACCAGAAAGGAAACTACCATTTTCTTTCCACATAAAAAGAAAAAAAACCAAAAAGCCTTACAGCAAACTCAGGGAGGTTTTTTTCAAGGTTTTCTTCTCCTCCATCTAAAATTGTTGCCAGAGATGTACGCAGGACTCTGGAAAATACTTCTAGTTGCTGACATGCTGTTGAAACACTGGTTATTTCCCCTTGATATCCAGCATCAGATATAAGCTATAAAAAGAAAAGCATCACAGAAAACCTGTATTATTTGCATCTGTATTTCAGATATCCTAACAAATACGGAAGAACACAGAGAATGTAAGATTTGCCTCTGTGTACACTAACTGACTGTGTACACTAACTGTAACATCTTTTAGACTACAGGAAAGGTAACTGATAGAGATGTAGCAAAAGAGAAGTAAACCACAGGATATAAGAATATTTTAGAGCACGGCAAGATATAACATTCTTTCCCTGTCATAGGAAGGTAAAAAACTGAAATGTTCCACTACATCAGAAAGCCAGATTTTTCAATTACAGATCTAAGAGAAAAAAAACCCCAAGCATCAACACAACAAAAAACTCAAAAAGGAATAATTCAAACTGGGAAACTACACTTACTACTTGCAACCTGTAACACAATTCCTCCCACCGATGTGTACCTGTAGTGTTCTGACATCTGAATAAGCAGTATTAGCAAGAATACATAAAAGATACAGGGAACACCACAGCCAGTATGTGATGCCAGAACAAAGAGCCCTTTCTGGATATTCTCATTTATTAGACTTAATACTACCTTCACAGTAAAATTAAGCATTAAACAGTCGGGATGGGCTTCTGCCAACTTGTAAAAGAGATCTCTCCATGTAGTATGTGCTATCATTTGCTCAAGCCAGGCTGGAGTCTGAAAAAGATCAGAGTAATAGAGAGAAACGTAAGGAATAACTAGTTGTCAAGATCACTAAAAGTAAGCCTTTTACCTCTCAGGTAAACCTCCTGTGAGTTGTTATACAGAACTTTATTACAAAGGAGGATGAGTTCAAAGTTCTCTAAGCCTCTGAGGACTCCAGTGGGATACAGTTGGTTTTCTGACACCACTTATTTCTTAACTAAAGAGCTTTGAAGATACAATTTCCCTTCCCCCACCATCTACTACTCCATCAGATGAAGACGTCTGTGTAGGATCCACTCAGGTAGAGATAGCAACACGGATTCCATGCACACCTCTCCTTCCTCTGTAAAGATGGAATCTGCTTTCCGAGGGTCAAAATGCTTGATAAGTAAGCTCTTTAAATGGTTTTCTACAGTCTCCTGAACTTGCACTGGCTCAACACCTGTATAGAAGGAACAAAAGACTTGGCAGATGCAATCCAATCAAACATGGCAGCAACATCTTAAATTTTTCAATGAGAACAGAAACTACTCAGAAATTTATCAACACAGAGAAAATGAGAGGAGAGCCATCAGTTCTACTGTCAAGCCACACTGATACAGACAAATTTACAGATTCTTGATCTTTTTTCCTAAATGCTTAGGATCACAGGCAGGTCATACTAGTCCTTTTCTCTTGCTCTCTTCATAAGTGATGCAAACAGCAATGCCAGTTACCTCACAAGACTGTTACTGGGAGAAATACCAAAATGCACATATCTTAAACACAAAAGGGATACCATGGTTGGTGCACAAGCCCACCTTAGTATAGACCATTCTTTTAATATATTTGCTATCAGTAGCTTTGACAGTATACTACAAAACAATATACAATGTAGTAACAAGTCGTTCTACATTTCTGAGATCAGAGCATAGTAATTCTGATAATTTGTCAACAAAAGTTTATACCAGCTAAGGGGCAAAGTGACCACAAGATAATGTCAAACATGTCCTGCAAGAGGCTATTGAAGAATTCATAAGCAGACTGGTAACAGAGAATTCTTGTCTCAGAGAATACAGGCATCTGTATGAGAACCTTCCATCTAACCACTGATCCACTAAAAGGAAATAATAGCTAGTAATAAGTTAATTGTTTTTCCAATATTAATTATATAATACTATTACAGAGCATCAAGTATTGCTAACAACATCTACGTAACAGTACCCTTGTGCATGAAAACAAAAAAAATCCTATGCAGTTGCTTCAACTATATTACACTTTATAATGCAGTTTGTAGGCATTTCAAAACGTTCATGAACAGATTACTGATTCTCTGAGTGGAATAAATGTATTATTATAAAGAACAGAGTCACATATGCATACAGGATAGTTAACTTTATAATGATCCACTTCCTGAGCATGATCAAATTTGCCACCGATTCAGATATTTCTGACAAAAGACAGACTATACACCCAAATTATACAGTATCACTTATCATACCTGTTTGAATGAGCCACTCTGCTAGCAAATTTACAGTCTGTGCCACTGCAGTGTAGTTTTCAGAGAGGAGCTGGATAACATTCTCTGGAGAACCTCCTGCTTGGAAATACCTGATGAAAGGATTACAAAAGAACTATTTGAAAGTTGTATTAAAAAACAAAACAACTGAACTCTAAATAAAGGGAACACAATAGCATCATTTACACATTTTCACACACGCTTCCACACAAAGTGACAACACCGCACCTAAACACGCTGAACGTACACCGTAACACACACAATAAGGTTACACTCACCTCTTTAGCGTGTTAAATATAGACGGCTCCATTATATAGTCAGGGGTTGAAAATTTCTTCAGGCATTCCTGCTGGACTTCGGCATCATCTTCTCCCTCCCCATCCTCATCGTCTTGCTATTTTCAAGCACAGTCAAGTCAGCCACCTCTCTTGTCCCGTTCCCCCCCTACACTCCCATATTTAGGCTATTTTTGCCCACAGAAACTCAGACACCTCTGGTCACTACAGCAAGCTACTACCCAAACACGACTTAAACACAGAAGGCGCAAAACCAAGCCCCGTCTTGCAGCTGCTCTCCTCCGTTTTACCCCGCTCACGCCCCAGGCCCCACCACAGGAAGGCTGTCCCGGCCCCTTTACGCCCGGCGCTTTTCTCCTCCGCTTGGAAACCCGAGCGGCTCCCCCCGGCCGCAGAGCGAGAGGGCCCGGCAGCTGCCGCCGGCCCCCC